TATTTATTGAGATATGACCCACTATCGCAATATTTTTATTACAACCTTGTTTCTTTCAGTTCATTGAAACTCATATCTTTGAACCGCTTACAAAAACCGTGTACATCAGAAGTACATGTAGAGAATTAACCTATCCCGAAGTATTTCTCAAATTTGGTATGTAATTGAATATAATATTGTTTAAGAGAGAAAATTCCTGGAAACAAAATGAAACTCAAGGAAATTGTCATTTAAAAAAGGTATCCTTTTAGAATCAAGATACATTTTATGATATCTTGCAAATGCATAAGCTTGCAATTACAACGTACACTGTATCGTGTGGGTCATTTTTTTTTACTGACATGTTTTTATTTATTGTTATATCTTTTCTAATTAAAAAATAATTTTGACTACTGAATAACCCTTTTATCTAGTCAATAGAGAGACCTCGGGCGTGGACAGACAACAGGGATTCTTACACCTGCTTTGCACCTTGTCCAATCTCGGGGCAGGGGGGGGGGGGGTTGTTGTTGTTATATATTTTTTTATGTTTGTTTGTTTGTTTTTGTTTTTGTTTTTTTTTTTTTTGGTTGTTGTTGTTTTTTGTTTTTTTTTTCGTTTGTTTTTTGTTTTGTTTTGTTTTTTTTTTTGGGGGGGGGGGGTTTGCCTTGTACACGTTTTTATATTGTATATAGGATTAATGACGTTAACATTATTCAATTGTCGTCATCGTCACTACTCTCACATGATGCCATAAGTAGTTGCTAAGAATGCCCCCTATATCTTCCAAACTGTTGTCGTGAGAGGTTTTTGATCAATGAATACTCGTAAAATCCTTGTTCATCAAAATGTTTGCGTTTTGAATTCTAGTGCCAAAAAGAAAATAACGAAGAAGAAAATAAATTTTGCTAGACCAACATTTAATTTATTTTTCATTTTTCAATTTCCTATAGACTCATGAAAACATAGCAATGAACCATTTTTTACTTGTCTGATTTGTCGCTTTATTGATTTACACGATAGCAATGAAACATGGTGATAACGAACAGTAATCAAGTTCAAAAGTCCATTGAAACAGTACAAATGGGAGCAGAACAAAAGCGGACCTTTATAAACATCTGAGATGGGATCAAGTGCCATTGATGAGTAAGCATCCCCTGTCGACCGGCCACACTCGCGGTGTACTGAACTGATACTTTTGTATATTTGCGTTTTAATTTTGATATTCGATTGGTACACTTCAGCTGTAAGGGCATATTACAAAGAAATATAAACGTGCATAAATACAAATCAATTTAAACTAAATTAACCTTAGTAAAGCTACTTTATTGTCACATGACATTAATATTTATTGAAATAACTTTTTATACTGAATGTACTGAATTTGGTTTGGTCACGTTATTTGACAGTCACGTGATAAATGCAGGTAATATGTACTGTATGTAGGTCACAAATTTCAATATTGCAAGGGCATACCTCAGTTTAAATTAAAATTTCAAGTAATAAATTGTTTCTACATAACTTGTAGTTTATGGAAAGTGCTGCTGCTTTAAACAGAATTTGCATTTTATGAAATTAAAATTCAAGTTATCTGGCTCTAGTCGAAATATTTAGGATCGTTACCAAGTATTTTATTTATTTATTAAGTTATGCTCTCTATTTCAGGAAAGCAGCCGCACTTTTCAAGTTAATGAATATTTCCTTTGTGTATATTAAAAAATGGTCGAGATCTATTAAGTGCATGGTTTTGGGAAAAGGCGATTTAATGAGGCACCTCAGCGTGAAACATGCAAACCCTCTTCATTAAAACACGGTAAAATTAATTTAATACATCCTTTCGATAGTTTTTAAATAACGGCACTAAACAAAGATTTCAGATTTGCATTATTGATCTACCTACGATTTTTAATTAACATTCTGTTAAATAATAAAATGCATTTTTCACTGTGAAAAATATACTTGATCCGCCTCTCACTGCACATAAAATGCGTCAAATTTTACGCAAATTATTTCATTTTCTGTTATTGTGAGGAATTGCTATATTTTGTGTGATATCACAGTACACATTTCTCGTATAATTAGGTCCCGACCGCTTATGCAGCCTAAACAGAGCTGAGTATATATTTTTGTGTTTTTGTCATTTCTCAAATATCTCGTATTAGGTCCAAATTCATTTCTTTTATACAGAACAGAAGTTGTATTTAATATATAAAAAAAAACGACGCTTTATAAAAATTCCACTCCTCTAGTAATGTTTCACATTATTAAAGATGTTCGACTTCACATTCGGTATATTTTAGGCTAGAATAGCCGTAAACATGGTATGATGACATCAAGGTCGCATGAAAATATTTCATAATTATTCTGAAGGGACTTCACCAATAAAGAAACAAGTAAAACTTTTTTTTTTTTCAAAAGACCTTTTACACAACCCTTTCTACATAATCACATTCATTTTTCAAGTTTATCAGCTTGTGAAATGAAAGACTTAAGAATTGTAAGATTTGAAATAATTCATTCTTAATTAGACTTGTAGTACAGAACTGTAACCTGCGTCACCGAGTGTGATCAATTCTGTGTCCAGAAAGGCGTGGAGATGGAAATAATCATGTTTTATAGCTCTATCAGTACCACACTTTATTTATCGAGAAAAAACGTTTTATTCAAGACAGCAGTCCGAACGGTCAAGGGTGTATCGCCTTGAGAGGACTTTTCAGGCGCATTCATGGCGTTTTTTAATCGAAATCCGTGTTGGAAGTAATGCTTTTAATTATGGTTTATTATAAATGGAAGAACAACCGAAAAAATCAATTATTGAAAGAGAAAGTAGGAGTTTTAGTACATGAACAAAATTATTCACAACTTTCTCTACTCTTCATCCAAATTAGTGAAAAACAGTCCCCTGCCCTCTGAATCGTTATAATTACCATATGTCTTCATTGTGTTTCCCTTCACATCATTAGGATAATGACCAAATATAGTATATATTAATACTTGTTTATGCGATTTCCCTACTTGCTGGTGACTTCATTGTATCATTACATAAAAATTGAATATAAGACTTACAGTTCATGTAGGAAATAGGATTATTAGGGAGTGTGTGCAATTACACCCATCTTCTGAAAATGAATAATCGCACAGCATAATTATAAGAGATAATCAATATGGTCATTAATATAGCCAATGCCAAATGAACAACAGCGTCTCATCAACAAACTGAGTTAAACAAACATAAACAAATCGATACTTCCCGTGCCCTTCAATTATCTGAGAAGGAAAATATTCGGAAAGATATAATTAACTTTGTAGTTGTAATCCCCCATGCTATTTTTTTGTAGTGTTTGTTTTCATTTTCATTTGTTTTCTTATTTCTCGTTGCTTCGTTTCATTTTCGCAAAATGTATGCTATATGAAATAAAATTATATGATTTATAATTTTTCATTTGTTTGTTATTTTTTTATATAAATTTTATTTCATTTTTTTTCTAATGAGTTACACATACTTAATAATCACAAATAGTGTGTACATTACATACAAAACAAAAACTACAAGAAATCAGTGTGTAAGTTGAGAGAGTGAGGTTGGGAAAGAGAGGGAGAGAAATGGACACTGAATTCTCAATGTATTGTTTAGAATGTTATGATTTATCACTGATAAATTCTATGGTATTCATTCAAACATATTAAATAGTCATGTTTCCATCGTTGATGTTAATCACCGAGAAGGTTTTGTTATCGGACGTAGGAACTTGTTAAAAAAATGCCTCCTCATTATAATCTAGCTGCCTCAGTGCCACATAAACATTTTGTAAATGCTTTCGGATGCCCTCAGCGTCCATTGAGTAGAAGAGACGGCTTCGCTGGTATCTACATGTAAATAAGACGTACATGTATGTATGGGGATAGTCATATATTGTGGTTTCTGTTTCTGTTACAGTGTACTAAAGATAGAACACATCTGTACGGTACAAACTCTTTTAAAAAGCTGAAACATTTATCAACATGGTACCAAATATACAATACTACCAATTTGTACACACAGGTCACGTGCTACCCACATTGACTGAGTAACATCGCGCTTTGAATGTTGGGAAAAGAACAACTTTGATATTTCTTAACTGCGGGAAAAACACATTCTATAAACAGCGAACGCCGTCATCTGATAATCTACCTTGTACACAATGTAATGTGTATCAAATTTTCACAGGATACAGTTTGCGAGAATTTTTTTTTTTTGGAATTATATTAATTTATTATCATCAATCGGTTCTTAAAGTTTTGTGAATCCTTGATCCGCATCTGCATCCATAGCAACGTAACATATGTTTATATTACGAGGTCTCGCAATTCAATTCATAATGGAAAATCTACAAATATTTGGAAAAGCCATATTCAATGCAAATATACACTTTAAAATAGTTGAAAGTAAGTTAATTTATATCCGGTCATACCAGATATAAGAATATAAATGAGAATAAGAGGCTCTTTTTCTCCAGACAGTTTGCAGCCGCATATGAATAAAAATCAAATTGATGTAATTTGTTGCTAACGACAGAGGTCAGTGTCGACTTGATGTGACAATGTATGGAATGATAAAATACAAAATACATAACGACGTCGTCACTTTTATGACCACATTACGTAATAGTTAATAATATACAAGCAAACAATATTTAAAAATCAATGAAATAGTATTCATAACTGGGAGAGAGATGATTTATATGTTTTAAATTCCAAGAAAAATAAGGAAAAACCTGATATTGATGAACTAAATTCATTTTACAAAAAAGTGTATGCTGAGAGAAAATTCTGAAAATTAAAAAAAAAAAAAATCCCCAGGAATTCACATTTATTTCTGAATATATGCTTTTATCAGAGATTATTTTTCAAAGAGATTCACATGGGGAAAAAGGAAGAGATAGTTATAAAGAAAGAATTAATTAAATTTTTTATTTTCAGATTTTTGAATCTCCATGCAACTGCATATCTGCTTAGAGAAATTGGAATAAAAAAAATGCAATATGGCTAACTCTATTCATCCGGCGCCAAGTCCGAAATACTTTAATCGACAAACTGAAAGCAGATCTACTCGCAATTTCTCCACAAATTCATCCGAAAGTTTTCAACAGTTCATGCAGAAGAACATTAGTGAATCCTCCTCCAGAAGAATTGTAAAACACTGGAAAATGATTTTGATTATACTGATACCCGTTTTATCTTTAATGACACTAACCACCGCTAATCTTTTAAAAGCAAGTGAAGTTAAAAGAGCGACAGTAAACGGCATTGAAAATGTACAGGAAGCGTATCTGTATGCGCAATTAGTGAAAATGTTACAAAGAGAAAGAGGCATCTCCTCGACATATTTGAGCAGTACTGGTAACAAGAGTGCAGCTTTCAATAAGATGATATCCGACAGAAGAAACACGGATTTAGCTTTTGCAGACATTCCTGTAAATCAGCGCACTGTCTTTGTTAGCGATATTCCTTTCACAATGTTACAACTTCATAAAAATGTCAATCTTTCTCGTGAGAGAATTAATAATGGCTCTATTTCTGTTGAGGATCATCTTGATTTCTACACTAATTTGAATGAAGGATTGGTGAATGTCATGTTTAAAGGCGTTGACATCCCAGGTGAACAAAATTACTACGGTGAAATTGTAGCGTTTTCCTCACTTGTCAGATGGACGGATATCATAGGTCTTTTGCGTGCACGAATAGCGTTTCAGTATGCGACTTGTGCCTTCACTTCAAAGACAATGCAGAATTATATGTTTCTGACCGGTAAAGCCGTGGCATATAAAAATATATTTATTCTTTACACCATGTCTTTGAAAGATGCTTTTTCTAAGCAAAACCAGAGCACAGAGGATTACCTTGATGAGGTTAGAATATTTGCCTGGTCAGAGTCATTTATGAACTCTTGTCAATCTTTCACGAAGGAACATCGTTTATCCTTAGGGTTGGTATGGTTTCAGAACATAACAAAATTTATCGACTTTGCGTTTGAGATCCAGATACGTCATTCCAACATATTAACAAGCATTATGTCACAAATAAGAAAAGATGCGGAATTTCAATTTAGTTTATATATTTCCGTTCAAATAATTATAACTATTGTGAGTTTTGTTTTAACAACATGGTACTTAGTTTGTATAGAAAAATTGACATTCAAAATTGCTAAACATGCTTCAACAATCAAAGCAAAATCCAACGAACTTGCAGCAGAAAAGAAATTAACTGATAGGCTTCTTTACCAAATGTTACCAAAGAACATAGCAAAAACATTGAAGGAATGCCGAGATGTCAACGCCGAATATTTTGAAGAGGTCACCATTTTCTTCAGTGACATTGTTGATTTCACAGAATTAGGATCTAGAAGTTCCCCAATGCAGATAATTGATTTGCTTAATGATTTATATGGGTAAGCCTCAAACTTTTTCATAATATTACAAATTTATCTATAGCTTCATCTTTCAGTAGTCAATGATATGCTTACAATTACGCCACATTGAACTGTTGCATAAGAACAAGCGGTAGCAAAGGAAAATCGGGTAAATTTCACCGAATTCAGCTTGAACAATCACTATTTCCTACAATCAAAAGGTTAAGTTTACGTCATCTCCTTTTAAGTGATCAAGAGATTAAGTAAATATTATATGATGATTTGTGAGTTATCATTGTAAACGAAATCGATTTAAGAAATAAGATATCATTTTAGAGTTTCACTGGGATATGACATGAAGTCGGCCACGTGATCAATTCCTATAACGCCCGAAGGGCGATGTAGTAGATTTGATCACGTACCGACTTCATGTTATATCCGAATGAAACTCTAAATGATATTTTATTTCTTATATTTATATTTTACTTTCATTCGTGTTACAAGGAAAAATAAGCACTATTTAGACTTTGTTATGGAAATGCAACATAGAGTACCTAAGACGTCATTTGACGTCACAATCGAACTTTCCAAATGGCTCCTGCAGTTTGCTTTCCATACACAAGATAGTCTGAACATGTGACCAACTGCATGTCATTGAAAATTGAATGTCAATTTAATTAGTATTGTCATGTAAGGAAATACATTGGCAAATGTAAATATTATACTTTGAAGAATAATTTAGTCAGGAACATAACATTAAAGACTGCTTTGTTACCAAGAACCTGATAAATTCATTGTAATGTTTTCCTTTGTCTTGCTTTTAAAGAAGGTAAACATTTACTTGAAAATTAACGAAAAGGAAGGCTATCGACATTGTATAAAGCCTCCGCTAAAATTTCACTGTTTATAATTCTTTCATTTAAGTTTATTTGACGACCATACTGAGAAGTACGATATATATAAAGTAGAGACTATCGGAGATGCTTATATGGTAGCTAGTGGGGTACCTATTCCAAACGGCAACACACATGCAGTTCATATTTGCAAACTTGCCCTAGACCTTCATGAACTCATGAGACGATACCGTGTCCCTATTTCTTTCGAAAGAGACGAAAATGTTAAAATTCGCATGGGAATACATTCAGGTAAGATTACAAAAAGGATATTTTAACACTGGTTATTTTAAATTTAATAATAGTTGCAATAGGTGGTGTGTTGCTAAATAATACATATGAAAATTCATTTCGACAAGTTATTCGCTCATTTTTGGATGACGAAATTGGCATACAGCAGTGGCTTAGACATATTTTCTCTACTATTGTTAAGTTGATACATGTTTAAAGGTTCAAAATTTAGTGACATAATTCTCAGAGTACTTACTTTAAAAGTGATTGCTTTGATTTTGTTTACTCTTTATATTTAAATTTAAAGGTCCCTGTGTGGCTGGAGTTGTAGGTAGGAAAATGCCAAGGTACTGTTTATTTGGAGACACGGTTAACACTGCGTCCAGAATGGAATCAACTGGAATAGGTTTGTCAACCCTTTTGTTTTGTTAACTGTCCGTGCTTTTCTTATTAACTTCAACCTACTGCAAACCAATAAATTTATTATTGAAAACAGATAGATACAAAAAAAAATGTAATCCTATATCAACAATTTATTGATAAATAGTTATAATCATCTGGGTCCTGTTTCCTTTCTTTAATCGCGATATCGACGTCAGTATCCATTTTCTAATTAGATTAGGAAATAAAATCTTATTATAACAGCAAATTTTAGAATTCATAAACGTCTTCTTCTGAATGATCAGAAAGGAAATAACTTTGAAAGTCTTAATGTAAACCTTATACGGTACCAATTATGATCCACCAGATGCACATTTCGACAAATTATGTCTCTTCGGTAATGCTCATGCCGAAACGTTGGAAATCCTAAATATTTAAATTTATAAAAAAAAAAAAAAAAAAAAAAAAAAAAAAAAAAAAAAATTGAAAAGCTGAAAAAAGACTGGAACAAAATACGAAGAAGGATCAGAGCTATGCATGAGAGAGATATTTCTTAATTTTGAAATATCTTTTTTATAATTTTACTACAGTAATTAAATATATATCGGTATTTTCAAGCTAGTACAGAAGTCCTTAGCTACTGCAGGGCTATAGAGACCACCAGCAGAAGCCTCGACTAAGGGGTTTTAATGTTTATCTAATACGGTACCAATTCTGATGCACCAGATGCGCATTTCAACAAATTATGTCTCTTCAGTAATACTCATGCCATAACGTTCAAATAAGGTTGGAAGAATAACATATTCATTTCAAGTTTTTGTTCCACGACAAATTAAAACAACCATAGTTGCAATGGGCATTTGTTTCCTTCTTTTTTAAGTCTTCCTGACATAATTACAAGTTAAAAAATGAATTGGTCATAAAACCTGCTTTATTTCATTTTGATTCTATATCTTAATGCATTATTACAATCCCTAAAACATGGCATTTCCAGTTCTTTCGTTCGCTCACCGTTCATTCCCTATGCGCATGCAGTTCCTCAACCTCTGGCGCTCATCGTTAAATTGATTTTTACTCATAGCTCAGAACAGTCCGTTTCTTCTCGACACTCGGAACTCCGAAGTGAATGGATTTTTAAAAGTGTCGAGTACAGATCTAAATTTGCAGCAGCTCTCCACCGACAAGTGGTGGTGTCTAAATATACTTGTAAGTGGAAAATTCTTGAAGGGACTTAAACAAACGAAAAAGCAAACTTTCGTTCAGCAAGAATATGAAAACGGAACGTGTGTAAAAGGATAGAAGTAAATAAGTAAACTCACATTTAACATCAAAAATATCCTTTTGAATATTTGTAAGATGTAAAAGAAAAGGTTCTCAATAATATAAATTGATACAGTAACTCTTCTACTGTATGCATATAATTTATCATGTCAGCAGGGAATTTCAAGACGTCCTATTGCGGCATTCAATATGATTAGTTGTAAATAATGAATGTTGAACATGCTAATAAACGTTTTGAATTATTCACTAAAATATTCACTTTTCTTATCTTTATTTCCTTATTGACTATTGAATGATCTTATGTTAATTATTTTTCTTCATGCAAAATAATCGAAAGTGTTTGGATATGTGCAGGGATTGCTCCATGTACAGATGTATTACTTTTGCGACATTGTATGATCATGAGTTTTCAATCATTTACTTTTTCTTTAGGAAGTGTACACAACAAAAGCTAGCTTTTAATCTACACTGGTGATGTCGAAAAATTAAATCTTTGTTTAAATTTACATATCGTTCTTTTAATCTAATTATGGAATAAATAAATTTAATGTTGTAAAACGCCCCAATATTCCGAATAAATCATACATCCTGAGTTCATCGCATGTTCAGTGATCGTTCCCCGTACACTTTACACTCACGTTCGAGCTACAGTTTACTCCCGTTCACTAACCGTCCACCGTATTTTTCTTTCTCCCTGCATTTGTTCAGCCTCCCCTTACCGATCACTCATCATTGTTCAAACGTTGAAATGGGTTAGTAGACTGCTTCAGTGGCTGTATCACGTAAAACATACATATTAAAGCAATCAAAGTGTGTGTATATGTGTATGAATATTTTAGACTTGAGAATCCATTAGAGATTATCTTTCAATCTTATTTCAGGTGGAAAAATCCACCTCAGTCCAGATACGTACAGCATTATTAAGCCATTAGGCTGTTTTGTAGTCTCCCTGCGAGGAAGGATTGTTATAAAGGTTTGGATTTTTATGACTTAATAAGTTAGCATTGTTAAAATTATTCTACAAGAAAAGTAGACAAACTTGTTTTATGAGAATAAAAAAAGCATATATATAATAAAATTAATAATAAAATTAAGCGAAATAAAATTACAAACAAGATTTAAAGTAATTGAAAGGAAAACATGCATGTCTGAAGAGATATGCAGGTACGTGTTAAGAGGCACAGAATATTAAGTGATATGTACTTCTTGCACGTACACCTTAGATGAAGATATTAAGAATGGTGTTAACTGTTACAATGTACTGCTAAAACAGCCGAATCATCATTAAATCTGAAGAACTTGTCAAATGCTGGCTCCTTAAAGATAAATAATGATTATACTTCTTTTAATTTTGTATTTTATATCACTATCAAGGAAAGCGGATGATAATGGAGTTTGTATTTATTGTCAGGGAAAAGGAGAGATGAAGACTTACTGGTTAGAGTCATTTATACAGACACCACAGGTGACAATATTTGAGCCTTCGTGCATATGATTAAGAAAAGGGAAACCGTGAAAAAAAAAAAGTTTGTTTTAAAACCTACGTTTTTTTTTTTCATGTATGAACATTTAAAGTAAGTTTGCATTAATTAAGAGAGAAGTTACATGTATATTTTCATTAATCTGTAAATGTGCAAAACTGTTTCATTGTTCTCAAATATATTTTTGTTAATTTTTTTACTCAGGGTTTGATTTCTTTTCTACATCAATAAGCAGCTGTTTTGTATATCAGAGTGCCATCTTAGAAGACATTCATTGTACAAAAGTATTCTTTGGTAGGACACGGAAATGTTTTAATGCCGTTGCTACAACATTTTATCATGATATTTTAAACTTCAAATGATGAAAATCATAAGAAATGAATATTACTGAAAATTTGGTGAAAAATACATTGTTGAAATGATACTTTTACTTTGCATATATAGGTAAGGCTATATCTAGACATTGGAAGGGTCTTGATTGTCATTTCCAATATCGCCAATACTTACAAGTTACGATCCACCTTACTAGAAGAAAATACAATGACACAATGCATAGGTTGTACCCTATTTTTAATGAATTTTTTTACATTTAGTGATTTCAAAACGTGATGAACAAAGGTTTTTTGAAAGACAAAGATATTGTACAAAAAATAATGAATAAATAAAGCAAGTATAAGCAATATAAATACACTATAAAAAAAAACTTGTTGAAGTTGATTTATCACATTTTAGATTAAAATCTAAATAAGTTTAATCTTGGCCTCACAGTCCGGTATAGATTGAAGGAGACAACACCAGAATTAATGCATTCTAGAAGCCTCTTGTAATAGAATCTTCCAGCATATGTTATTTTGATACAAGGAAGAATGTTGTCGCTCATGCGTGGTTGGGCTGAAATATGACAGAATTGTAACATTCACTTTCTTGCATATCTCTACCCAGTTGATGCATTAGCTTACGTTCGTTTTGATTATATGTTAATTTTTCTTTTAACTATAGATCCGTAACTTTTTCAGTTTGATATGAAGATATTTTGTTCAATTCTGATGTACATTGTATAAAGATGTTTGATATGTAAAATATTTGACAACAAACGGTAACAAAGCCTTTTTGGCAATTGCAATAATAAATACATGTAATCAATGAGTCATTGTACAGACAAATAATTTCTTTTTTTTCAAATAAAATCATTTTACCTTCAGGGTATGGTACGAAATGAAATGTTTCAATATTCCCACAGCAAAAGCATGAAAGCAGAAGAATGCACAAAACAAACGCCATGTCTGGAAAATTCTGATCTCTGTAGTTTGCCCTTACTCAATGAAACGATTTCAAGGAAATGCGATGGTTAATAAACATGCATTTGGCAGATTGATCATTGTGGGTGTTATTGTTGCTAAAGCTCCTATTGTAATGGGATAATTGAAATAGCATTTCCTTTGTAATTAGGTATTGAGCTATGTTATTATGAAGACCACCATTACGTTATATCTAAATCAAAATAATCCATCAGATACGTATATATATATATTCACAGCGTGACTTTGTGAAAAGGATGTTTGAATTATTGTCATTTGCAATGACAACGGTTACAATGCATAATATATTTAGTTGATTTTTTATTCTATTATTCTCTTTTTGCTCTGCTTTTGTTTTGTTTATTTATTTATTCTTTTGTTTGAAAAAGTTTCATTTTTTCATTTATTCATTTTGAAATTTGATATTTTTACCTCATTTATAGCTATTTTGAGGCTTTTTTGAATTTGAAGGAAATTCAATGGATATATATATATATATATATATATATATATATATATATATATATATATATATATATATATATATATATATATATATATATATACACTAGACAAAATAATTGCTAATGCACCGCCTAAATAAATTAACATTTTTCTTTTCAAAACTTGTTTATGATGTTTTTGATAAATAATTATATTACTTTAATAAAAAATGAGACATTTAAATGTTTTAACTGATAAATTACAACAATGTTTACTGAAGCGTAACCACTTCATAGAAAAAATTAAAATCATATCCATACTTTTTTGGTGGAATAAATTTCTAGTTTTTTTCTTTGTGGTTGTGTTCTTGATGTTTTTACTAATTAAAAACTCAGAAAAAAGTTACACCGTATGCGGCGTTTGACTCTAGAAGAGCGTGCTAACACAGCCAGTATGGTGTCTGCAGGGGGTTCCTTTGAAGAAATTTGTGAAAAATTAAAAGAATTAAAAGATTAAACATTTCTCTGATGAAATATTGTTGAAAATGAATTAACGATCATAAAAATGTTTACAACAGATATCGACGGCATTAAGTAAGCATCACACAATAACTTCAAGATTGTTCCTCAAAACTGTGGCAACCGGAAGTTGGGTGGATTTGGTAGGGACAAGAAGGCACTGGATGACTACTAAGCGATATGGTAGTCAATTAGGGTATATCATTTGATTTTTAAGTGGGAGACATTTTGAATGTTGCAATAACTACACTAGATGCTCATCATTACTTTAATTGTCAAAATCATCGGTGCGCAGTGCACGTCGGGAAATCGGTTTTCGGACAAGAAGGTCCTTTAAGGGTCTTGACATGACACCAAGACATTTGTCAATCCAACTGTTTTGGAAAAGATGGCATATTTTATATACTAGTACCAAACAGGAAAATGATCAATTCACAAATAAGAATAATAAGTGGTGCGTTAGCAATTTTGTCTAGTGTATATATATATATATATATATATATATATATATATATATATATATATATATATATATATATATATATATATATATATATATATATATATATATATATCTTAATATTAATCATGCCTGGTTCATATAAATTGTTAAGTACTCTACAAACAATTGGAATTAACTTCTATCGCATTTAATAGTTTGTATATAGATTGTAATTAAGCAACCCAGAAATAGATAAAGTTTTTATCAGTGTAATTAAAAGAAAATAGATGCACTTAAGACAAAAAAATATGTTTATCTCATAAATTGCAAACTAAAAGAATATGTTTTGAAATTGTATGTTTGCATTATACCAGCTACAATGACAAAAAGGATCTAAATTTGCCATGTCCTTTTACGAAAATATAATTTTATTAGTGCTTTATTTACTTCAGGAGACTGAGGAGAAGGGGGTCAGTTTTGGAGAAAAGTACTGTAGTGCTGAGACTCAATTCTTGATTTTTTTTTTTTTTTTTTTTTTTTGATCAAAGAACTGTCGACAAATCTTGCATTATTGCTACACACATGTATTAGCTGTCATGACCACACATGACCTCTGTGACAGATAAAAGACCAATCCTCAGGAATACAGATAAAGCAACTGCAGATTTATTTTGAAAATTTATTTCAGTTAAACAGATACAACAAAAGGGTATAATAGTATCCACTAAACAAGGAAAATGCCGATTTATTTTGACAATGTATGCATTTTATTGTCATCAATAGTCCTCTGTTGCATCTTCTTGTTTCCTGGTTTTTTTTTTTAAATTTTGCTTTGTTTTGCTTTTCTATTACATATTTCAAAAAAATCTATTCTTTAATGGAATGTTCCGCATTGGCCTGTAATACCTCACGGATCGAAGACAGCTGAGTAGTTTAAAGAAGTCGGGATGAAACTTGTTGGCAACTCTGAAGCAAGCACCAAATGGATAAGATATTCGCCCTGCTGAACATAAAACATCTTGATGGAATTTGATTTGAATGCATTTGCAAAAACATACCTCCTAAAGAATAAGATTTATCACTAAATGTACACTACGAATGTTAGCCAATCCTTCTGTATTAGAAAATTGCAAAATTTGACACCAGGTATAAATTCAAAATTTTTGATTCGCAATATTTAATGCTGCGTGCGGGTAAACAATAGTAGAAGGTCCTACGATAGAAAAAAGGACCACATCAAAATGTTCATATATAATAAGACATTTAGATCAGCTATAGGATCACAAATTAAAAATACCATATCAATTGCTCTGCCTTAAGTTTATATCTAAAAAAAAAATTTAAAAATTGGTGCCAAAGTTTGATTTAAATATCGTTATCGTATAATTTTATATTGCAATGGGGGAATTTTCTTTGTAAGAAAAAAATGTTAAATCATGTTATTAAAGCAAATAAAAAAAGAATAAATACCTGGATGGATGTAGAAAGGTTCATTTAAACAAAGGCTTGTATCCAGTCCATGAAACAGTATGAGAAAAAGAAAGATCAATTGTACTGAAGAAGCCATTCTTTGAATTAATAGTTTATACGACAAGATATATAGTTACATGAATACTAAGTATTTAATCCATCCTTATATATATGATCTTTAATTATTTTTGTGCAATAATTTAGTGAGTGAAGGATATGTATGTGTGCTTGGCAATTTACACTTAGCAGGATGACGTAAAATGTGGTATTTACAAGAAAGGAAAAAGATTAATGTAAAAATGTTGAAAAAGATTTAATATCCAGGGCATATTATTTAGAATGTCAAAATAAGGACATATCAAGAAGTAAAATAAAATGGGCAAACAACCATAAAGCACATTATATGTATGTCAAATATGCTTATTATAGATCTCACCAATTTGAAAAAGTGCATTTAACTTTTTTGTCATTTTAAATGTACAGAAACAACCAATATTTAATTATAGATCTCAGGAATAAAGTCTACATCCGAACAATTTTCAAAAAAAAATCATCAATTCCATTCATCATTTTTGGGATGAAGCATCCATACGTTTTACAAAACTATCATTTACAATCTCCTTCACGGGGAGAAACAAAATAATTCCCGTGTTTCCAAAGCACACAATAACCTAGTGATGGCAATGCACCTTTCAATATTACATTCACTCTGTCTGCTACATCATTGTACCCAAAATTAACCTTAAATATTGGCAATAATTTTCAAACAATTATTTTCGCAACATTATAGCGGCGATGCATCACTGATACCACAGTTTCAATTTCTGCGACCAACAATGTAG